GCGCAGGGCGAAGCGGGTATGAGTAACGTATTTCTCAGCGTCAAAAAAAAAAAATGGTATATTTTATGTAGAATTGTAGGCAAAGTTATATACTACTCAGAATAGACGACCTTTTCCTCAACATATGTAAAAAAAAAAATGATTGGAAATTAATATACATCATAGCACGATTAACTGATGAATGAATCGAAATAAATACAATTTTTTTTCTCTTTAATTCTTTCGCATCACTAAACTTTAAGCATTTGCAAACCATTTTTTGTTGCTCACCAAAATGAGAGTTGCAATTACACAAAATATTTGGCGCTTCGCTTTCAATATAATTGGGGGTATTATCATTTTTTTGTTCAGCAACAAAATTGTCGGTGAATGAATATATCGGCGACAGCAATCGATCACTCGTCGCTCGACCTCCGGCGGGCGTGGACGTTAGCAATTACGCCGAAAACGGCGGTTAAATGTTAACATTGAACGAGGGAGGTGCCGCTTTCCCCGCTAAAACGCAATCGTTTTGATTGATCGCATCAAATGAGCGGTCAGCGAGACATATTATGAGTTTATGAATTGCATAACTTTCTAATTTCAACATGTAGTACACGTTAAAAGTATTTTATTTGTAGCAAAATTATATACTGGTAGCACCACGATTGATGTCAGCTGCCTGGAATTATAATATATCACTGTGTAATTATTATTTATGATTTATCTACAGTCAGTAGCGGTGACGGCTAAAGTTTTGTATGTCTACTTATAGCATCTATCACGTAATTTATTTATATAAATTGATGTTATTTACTAGAATTACATTACTAAATCTAAAGACGCGTTACACTATAAGAAGCTAAATTAAGTATCGTAAACAAATGTTAGGCCGCTGAAGATGTATACAAACACATATTTCACGTGGCAATACTACTGTGGACAATGTTAATAGATCGTACAAATCACGATTATGGAAAGTAGATATCGATGCGAGCAGATTTAAATCGTTCCAAGCAGTAGCTTTAATTGCAGGCCAGTGATGTAGCCGAGTATGTCTGATAAATGTATGCATGAAATATTACACAAATGACAGACTTAATGCCAATGGCATTATCTACCAGTCAACTCGAACGGATGTTGGAATTTATTGTAAAGCGATAAGAATAAATCTCCGAAAACCTATGAATCTAATAAAACTTGTACCTAGATGGTATAAGTATTTATATTATATTTAGATAATATAAATACATATATAAATGCTAATACTAAATAATTACATAAATTTCAAATGTGAAATGGAAAAGCATTCCAAAGGCATAAAAAACTGTGAGGGTAAAGGATTTGGAAATAAATAGAGTATGATGGCAGGGGGTTTGAAGAACGAGATTACTACTAGAGCGAAGATTACGTTGATGACCAGAACCAATCGAATATAGAAACCTAGATTTCAGATATCCTGGTATACATATATCGTATGGTATATTAAAAAGCATGCACACAATTTGCAGGTTGCTGCATTGGTAGTTGTTTCCTTGTTTGTTTCATTAATTGTTAGTTTATGGAACAAGACATCCGTGTTGTTTTCTCTAATCAGAGATGTGATGGTATTTAAGAAGGCCATATATGAACCGAATAGCACTATTGAGCAAACGATCCAATTTGTTGAAAAAACATTGGTTGATGTCAGAATAGCATACATCAGCGTAGTCAAGAAGAGTGTTGAATGCGAGATACGTCAGCGTGTTGAGTATTTTACGGGCCACTTCACCAACCTGCACCTCCCAGCTCAGAGTACAATCAATGTGCGGGCCCAGATTTTTTATACTAAACTGAAATGCAATGTTTCCGCATTTATATCTTATGGGAGTAATGTAATTCCTATCAATAGCTGACAGATGACGTGAACTGCCAATAACAATACTTTGGCACTTAGATTTATTTACAGTGACACCGTGACAGTTGGACCACTTCAAAATGGTAATGAGATCCAAATAGCACCGTTGATGTTGCTTCTGTCTGCTCGAGCGTGAAGATGAGCGAAGTCGAGGATTGAGAGTAATAATAAATAATAGCGAGAAATACACAAAGCAATTTTAGTCTAAAGAGAATTCAGGAGGAACTAACAGTAAATAATAAAGATGCATTATAATTTTCATTATTATTTTACTTACACCTAATCTTTGATGTCTCTTGAAGGTTTTGAACTGACAATCGCGTTCAAAATTAATAACTACTGTTGTATCTGCTAGATAGCACTACATTATTTGTACATCGCGGTATCTTTGGTTATTCTTATAAATCTTGTAGTTTCTTTCCGTTAAATAAATCTTTTTTGGAACAGTGTTAAATCGAGTTAAAACATTTAAAAGACTATATCGATATTCAAAAATTGATAACTGACAACACTATCGGTGTACTGGTCGTGAAGTGTGGACATTGTGGACAAATTGCCGCTTATGACTGTCATGTAAATGAGTCGGGGCGGTAACGGCTTAATCGGTTTACTGGTGTCGATGCGCCCGCGCACTATTACATACCCGCCTTGCCCGCCGCGTATTTTATAACACAGAGCAATTGTTCAAATTTGTCAGTAAATTTTCTATTATGCCTAGCATCATGAAGCGTTGTACGGGTTTTAAAAATATAACAAAACTCAAGGTGCAAATTGAATTCGCGGCACATGTGATTTTACTTACAATATTTGAGTTCACTGTATTCAAATACGGCTATATATTAGGTACCATACTAACTTGACACAAATGCTATTGAAAACACGTCGACAACATCGCGTGTGAGTCAACCCTATATCGTCTACGACAGCGGCAATAAGGGCCACGTCACAATACGGCCACATGCCGCGCGCCGCTAATACCGATTTACTGTGCGTTGACAAACGCTTCCAATCCACGCCTACTATACTCGTATAAGTACACATATTGCACTAGAACTACCGTAGCTGTAAGGGCTTTATGTTCGAAACATACTGAGCGAACTTAATTTTTATTTAATAATATTAATGATTTATTGAAATTATTTAATTTTTAATTAAATACTCTTTTTCAGTTCCTCAAACAAGTTTCATAGCTCGAAGGTAAAAAACGAAACCCTTATAGGATCACTTTGTTGTTCGTTCGTCTGAAAAGACCCTTTTTTTCCGAACCGCGAATCCGACGCGCACTTGGCCGTTTATTACATATGAAAACCATCATGAACTAGTACCGTTGACCGTACATATGATATTGAGCAGTGCCTGTTGAACCGAATATATATGTTAAAAATACTTTGCAGAGGTTCAAAACATTAATGTGTTCCCTGAGAATTCTTGTCCATAGCAAACTGCAGCAGGGTTAAGCGAGTATGTTATAAATATCTAATTTGTGACAACTAATAATATGGTGTTATAATACGCGCCACTAAGGCCCGGGACGCAGTGAGCGTTGGATGCGCATGTGTCGCTAATGACGATTTATTGTAATTGCGCTGTGGCGTGCGCACACGCATCATCCTCTACGCGTCTAATACACGCTACCGATTTACAAGTGAACAGACAATCTCTAACGAATCTGGACAAATATTCCTGTGATTACAACACGCATTAACACCTCGTTGTATGAATATTTACATACGCCGTGATAAATGTAGTTATCTGTATGTTAATATTTTTGTCGCATGTCAACACAACACCGGCGGTATACATAATCGTATAATAGCGTACGGTATATATGGATATATATATATATATGTATTGGTGTTTATCTGTGATGTTTAAACACAATAATTTATGTTTAAAAAAACAAATAGAAAATAACAAGAATCTGCTATCGAAGTCGGACGGAGCTTTTCTCTATGTTATTAAATGATAACCTGGTAAATGAAAAAAAAAATTGGTTTCTTATATTGGTCACACTAAAAATGTTAAATGGGCCAAATACTTTTTTATGCCTAAAAACCTGTCCCTTTGAACTAATGTTGAATTTTACGGTAAAACGCTACAAAATTGTAAAATAAGTATGCTAATTTCAAAATATTACATATTGTTTAATACAGAACACAAGATTTGACCAGTAAAAATACATCATTATAACAAAAAATATAGTAACAATGTTGTCATTCTTAGTAACGCATTTGTTCTTCATCATAATGAATTCCGCTTTAAAAACTTAAGCCCTAAACCTTATTTATAATGCCAATAAATATTTTTTACATCAAAAAATTATTGGAGTAAAAAAATATTTTGACTGTGTCCCTAACAAATACTAAAATCGTAACTACCTTGCGTTGCTATATGAAAATAAACCTTTAAGTGAGTGTATTACCCTTTTTTGCACCTTATTCGGCTTTACATATTGTAACTCGTATAACGAACGATGGCAACCGCGGGGGAAGAGCGTCGGAGTCGTCGGGAGAGGTGCGTGTATTTATTGCGTGGCCGCTGAGTTACCACTGTCGAAAGGTACGTATTGACAATATTTACATAATATTTGTTTTATATGTAGTTTGCCATGTATTGGATCTGTCAGTGTTAGAATATTTGCACTTTGTTATTTCATTTAGTGATTATATACAACATAGTCAAATATTTACAACTGCGATACTGCTACACTGCGTTACTTAAAAATGTAACGCAGTTGTTGCATTGGTAACGCAGTTGTGAATATTTGACTATGTTGTAAATAATCACTAAATGAAATACCAAAGTGCAGATATTCTAACACTGACAGTACAAAGACATGACTAACTACATATAAAAATAAATAATATATTTGTCAATGTTGGTGATACGTTATTTAAGCCTTAATTTTCATATATTGTTTCTTTTTTATCTTAGAGAAAAGATTCTGCGCTAAATGGCGTTAACAAACGCAAAACAACGTCGCTATAAGCTTAAATTTAAACTAGACCCTGTGAGAAATGATGAAGCTAAGATAAAACACCAAGAAAGGTACGATATGACAGAGCGAGAACATAGGAGTGCAAATAAGAAACGTCGAGAACGACAAAAAACTGCTCAACAAATTATGGACATTACACCGACGTCGAGCTCGCGGTCAGGAACTCCAGTTTTACCGAGGTCTAGAGGCCGAAAACAAATACGAAGAGATAGATCTGCAGTGTACAGAAATAATTTGAAATTGCAGGAAGAAATAGAAAAGTTGAAAAGAATGTGTAGTAAAAATAAAAAGAGATACCAAAGAGCTAAAACGTCAATCAAACACACAGAACAAGTAAATAAGCTTAACCAAAATAAGTATTCAACATTATCCAATGCCATCAAAGACCATTACAGAAGTTTGAAGTCAATCAAAGAGAAACAATCATTAAAACAAATTTTCAAGGAGAAGGCTTATCTAACTCTAAAATAAAAATTGCTATTGTACGCGAGACGTTGGGAATTGATCTGATGAAAGTGATGAAACGACAGCAGAATACCTCAAAGAAAAATCTGGTTAACAGCATTACAAGCTTTTTTGTTCGTGACGATGTTTCTAGAGCTACGGCTGGAAAACGGGAAACTGTCACTTGTAATAAAATTAAAATACAGAAGCGATATTTACTAGACACAATGAAAAACCTATTTCATTCTTTTAAAAAAGAAAACTCAGAATTGAGATGTTCTTATTCGTATTTCATTAAAAACAGGCCATTTTATATAGAGCCACCTTCAGTTTCTGGAAGAGAGATTTGCCTATGCAAGATACATACTAATACGCAGTATATTTTAGATGCTCTCTACAAAACCAGGGTTATCGCTCACCAAAACACTGAAGGAGTTAAGCAAGGTCCGTTTGTATTTAGTGACGGACAGTGACATACAAAACATTGAAAAAGCTCTACCTAAAAACCTTGTACCACTTCAAGGTACGATGCTAGTACATCAAGTTTTTACTGACACTCCCGGTGAACTTCAATATAGAGATCTCAGTTGCTTTTGCCAAAGAGGTTTTTGCTCATGCATGAGCCCAAAAACTTATCACCCTGTTCCTGCTCCCGTTATTGACACACTTACAGAAGTTATTCTCTTGGATGGATTGGATGAGTAAATAATTCTCGATGATATTTTATATATAATTACCGTACCTAGAAGAACATTTTACAATACGGTTTATTCCACACCTTCCAGCTCTGATGACGAGTTCTTAGCCAGCTGTAGCCAACCATCAGTTTCTAATATAAAAGAAAGGCAATTAATTGAAAAGGAAAATATTCATCCTACAAAGATATCAGACGGTGTCCATGTCTTAGTAAAAGTGTCTTCTGTTAAAGACAAACATTACACTTATCTAGGTGTTGCTAAAAGTGAAGTTGATGAAGAAGGAGACGTCAAAATTATGTTTTACAAGACAGTAGATAAAACTGGTAAAAGGTTCAAAGCAGTAGATACTAATATTTCTTACGAACCTTACGATAACATCTTAGAAATTATTCCTAATCCTAAAATTGTCATAAAAGGTAAAAGGATATACTTTGATTATGATAAGCCATTAAACGTCTTTGAAAGTAGGACTGAATTGAAAGTGTTCCATTAGTTATTAAGGTTGATTTTGTGATTTTTATTTTTTGAGTTATTAAATTTATTTTATTGAAGATACTTTATTTTATATCGAGTCATAGGAAGTTATATTTTATTATGTTTTTATTGTTATACTAGATCTCTATAGAAAGTACAAATATTGTATGTACGAGAATTGTATGTAAGAAAATACTACCGTGTTACTGGGCTTACTACTGCGTTACTTTTGTGCCCCTCAGATTTTTTATAGTATTTTCAAAATATCTATGATTCTTATTATTTAACCTGCTTTAATTTCATACGTACGTATTACTCATCAAAATTAAAAGATTATGTTGTAAGTTGGTATTAATTTTAAGTTTTTATTTGTGATAAATAGAAAAGTTTATGTTATAAAATTAAATTTTGGTAACGCAGCAATCCAAAGTAATGAGGATACTCTATGAAACTGATAACTTCTGTGATTTAATTTTATAAGAAGTTAATTATAAGCGTTACAGTTTAAAACTGACACGTTATGATTCTCTTTGTACAAGATTAATAAAAATTAAAAATAAATTCAAAATGTAACGCAGTTGTTTAATTTTCCGACACCTTCATATATTGTTGACCATAACTATAATTAACTCATTTAAACTAACGCTGCAGAGGTAGGTACATTATAAACCGAACTATAACGTATCTATATTCTTATTTTTATATGCAGATATCTGCATATAAAAATAAGAATATTAATATTTTTATAAAAAAAGAAATTTAAAATCGAATGTTTAGATTAGGCATTAAAAAGTATTTTAGCCCAAATATATTTATTATATTTGATCAAATTTGCATTCACAATGCTATACTGAAAAATATTCTTAATGAAAAATACTTACAATATCCATTTGGTCCCCGGCACAAATATCTGTTAAAAATATGTCAACATAGTGTAAGTCTATGGAAAAGAGATTTTATTTATTTGCTCGACATATTTTTTGTAATGGGCCGAAATGGACCGAATTAAAAAATAACCCCCTTAAGGTAAGTTACACCATACGCGGGAATATGGGCTTTAATTTAAGTGGAAAAACTCACAGTTTAATAGAGATTGGTTCACAAAAGGTTCATGAACATACCTACTTATATAACAAATATGTATACACATCTGTCGAACATAGAAAATCCTCTTTTGGAATTTTGAATGAATGCAAAATACGCTATTTTTGTTGTTTCGCCGATGTAAACATATTATCTAATGTATTTTGGTGAAAATAAAAAAAAAACATACATCGCCGTCGAATATTATAATATATATCTACTTTTTTATTTTGAAGTCGGTTAAAAATAGGTGTCTAATTATAGTTATAACATATAGTTTTGTCTTATAATTCAATTGTAGTCAATTAGCATCCATCCTTAATAAAAATTCAAACTAAGCACACTTCAATTATGCAACTAAATGTGTTTCAGAAATTACATTGAGTATTTAATGACACCTGTATTAAAAAAAATTGTCATCGCTACGATGTACGGTAGATATAAGTAAATACTTTTAATCATCGAGGATCGAGTTCTGTTGATAAACAGAACTCTGCTGGTGCTGGTACATAGGTATATTTATTCGTGTTTATTTGGTATATATTCGTTTGAGTAAAATGTGAGGACATCTGGCGGTACTTCATCGGTGATATAGTGGCCCGGAAAGTTCTCATCTCCTGCCAGTTAGTAGACCTAGTTCTCATGGAGCGCACATCGACTGTATAGTATAATTCTCATTAGTTGAAATAGGTACGCATATTTAATATTTACATAAACAATTTATTAAAATAACATAATAATTACAATAAAACAATACATATATTACTAAATTAAATTAATGAAATGTCTTTGGATATAAAAAATTGATGTAGTGCTTTGTTATTGATTATTTTCATACAATACAAATATAAGTAAGTATATCTACTTTACATTTACAACATTTAATCTGCGCTATTGGTGCACAAGAAACTTTTATTACGGTATATATAACGAATTTATTTAAATCAAACTTTATCGATGATTTGTAAAAAAATCAACATTATGTAATGTTTATCAATGAAAACACATTAATGTCACATAAACATCGATCCACTTAAAATTAATTCGAAATCAAACATATTACCATGTATTTATGGAAAAGTTCATAAAACACGACGCGACTGATGGTCTCGGATCTACCGAAGGAACGGCAATCTGTTTAGTTTAATAAAAATACTGTCTGAGTTCCGAGTGTTAGTTTTTAACGAGAAAGTTTAGAAGAGTAATTAAATATTAATGAAATGAGGATTACATGATGTTGATGTGATAGGCCCCCCAGACGTGGTCGACCATTTCGCTACCGGACTAATTATTATAATTTAGCTCTCGTAACCGAATGACAAATCTATTATTGGTTTAAATACTAAATTAAACTTTTAATATTATGCAATACACGATCAAATCAATACCGCGAGCTCATGTCAATCACAAACATTGATTTACAGTTCGTATGATTGACGCGCTTGCGACATGTTATATCGTTCGTTGCTTATTTAATCCTTCAATAGTAAGTCGACTTACCAAATAAATTTCGCTATTCGTTTATAGTGAAGGAGGGGACGAGGCGTAATATTACAACAGTACTTACCCTTTAAATAACATAATTGAAGTTGAAATTTTGCCAGTTCAATTGTGAAAAATTAAGTATATTACAAATTAGAAGAAGAAATCCCATTATAAATCGTTCAGAGTAGACTTTTGGGAGACAACAGTAGGGTTGGAACCGTACTATATTATATATACTATATATATACTATACTTTACATCCCGGTTTACGTACTGTATACTGTTGGAAAAATATATAGTAGGTAAAAATACTATATTTTCAGCATCGAAAACTAATAAAATAATTCCTATACGCGTACACATATTTGTTTTTGACTTATACTTCAACTTTTCTCATTACAATTCTTATTCTTAATTCAATTCAATTCTTATTATTACAAATTCTTTTACATGAAACATTTCGCATGGAAATGAACCGTCTTTACTCTGAAATTATAAAACAAACATATGATATATGTGAAAATGTAAAAGATTAAAGTGAGGTTTTAGACAATAATACAGACCAAAAGGGTAATAACTACTATGAATAAATGGTGAAAATATTTTACCATAATGTAATATAATTTTATTTCTTTTCTCTTACCGCCAGTGCTGAATTCACGTCACAAACAATTTCTGTTAAGAAATCGAAATGACGAAAGAAAGACAGAACTATTTGATTATTAAAAACAGCTTTTAATTATCATTATTTAAAATAAATATTTTTGAAACATTTCATGCACATAATTCAATAGAAATTGTCTTACATACTCGTAATAATGTGAGACAAAAAAAAACTATTCCAAACAAACATGTATTTGTATATTATTTTAGATTTTCATGAAATCTATAGATTTTTTTTATATTTCAGTTAATTAATCAGAGCAGAGATAGATTATAATCTATAATGATACGTATGCTAATTTATGTTATATTTTATACGGACAGAAAGCTGGTACGTACTATATATTTACGTACTATATTTTTATAGCTTATTCTGAAAAATACTATATTTCGCTGAAAAATGTTGGCAACCCTAGGCACAGTAACAGTTACCATGAGAAATGAAATATTCTTGACTATTACAAATAAGTCTCTTTCGTGTTGATTTTGTAATTGTTTTTATTCAATAAAAAAATTGTTTTACTGACAGAATTAATAACTAAACTCCGGTCACCGCTGGGACATCATTGTGATGCAGTGGCTGCGCTCATGCCCATATACAACGCTGTATAATACATCATTTGCGTCTGTCTGACAGTTATTGGTGGTGTCTGGGAGTTTATGGCGCCATCGATCAGGGCTCAACGTATTCTAATGAAACTACTGAAATACTATTCTTTGTCTTTGTTTTTGCACAGCTGTATAGAAATTAAATATTTTAATGTTGGAGAGACAATCTCCGTTTAAATCTCTGGAAAATAGAAAACAACAAAACAAACCGTCAAAGTAACCTCAAAAATGTTTTTTTTTTTTTCAATACTTTCTTTATCATTGCCAGCATAACTAACGTAATTACAACTTTCTTGTACCACTAGTTGTTGAGCTAAACCGTAGACGGACAGACGTTGTTTACTACGGAACTATAAAAATGAAAAAAAAAATGTGAGTCAGATTATTAATTTATTTAAAACGCCTTGGATATGGCCTCTTGCGTGAAACTATTAACGATTAATCATTACTTATTAATAATTATTATCAATGCGGACACTTACTCTCGGCGCACTTTACTTACTTCACTAAAATGCAATATGATTTTTCTCATCGACAAACAAAAGAAAAACATAGTTGCAATTTGCTAGCGCAAGATTGAAAATCAATGGGAGATGTGCCAATTAACGAGTGTCGAATAATTGAAATTAAATATTTGTCTAACGTCAATTGTTTGTTTATCATGTTGTTCTTATTATATTATATACATAATATTACTTACGTTTTTACGTTAACCGAAATTCACGCACGCATCGTGATACGGTGATGTCCAATGTGATTTACATGATTTTTACTAAATATTGTAATATTTGAGTAGCTCGGTGGCGTAGTGGATAAGCGTCGCGTACCGCGATCGTTGTTGTTGGGCTGGCTCTCAAGCAAGGGTCTGTCGCCGGATGGTTGAACAAATAGTTATTATCTCGAGCTCAAGGCTCGCCAAGCCGTTGGTCCCGGCTGTATTTGCAGTCGATCATACCCATCAATCCGCATTGGGCCAGCGTGGAGGGATATTTGATGGTATGAATGAGTAAACTTTATCATTATTCATTCATTACTCACGACTTTATTCAGTTAAAAGGAGTCCTAAAATAAAAGTCTTTAGAAATAGTTTTTCATCACTAGAAATACAAACTATGTCATTTTCTCACATAAAAACATACCAATGAAAGTGATTTACTATGAGGGAATCGTCCGAGTACTGAAAACAAACACTGCATAATAGTAAACACAACGATTTAAATAAATAATCTATTCTATCGATCTAAAGTGTAGGCGGAAGTTAGTGAGAATATTAAAGCCTTAATTAAACTTCCTCCAGCGGGTGAGCCTCAGCCGTACACTCATTGATACATCGCGCCATATTAACGTCGAGTAACCGACCGACTTACTTAGGCCACACTGTATAAGTAACAAACAATGCCAATGACGGTCGAGATTAATACCGATCCGATGCGATCGCACACGGCGCAATGTGTCACAGTATGTGATGCACTCGCAGTATCATAAATCAATACTTGAGTGTATAAAATGACGGCTATGTAAATTAATTTTTCCAGTTTAAAAAGGAAATTCTAACTGTTTTATTGACGATACAAATCAAAAAGGACGTTCAAATGTCAAAGTGACATATTGGTTTTACGTAATGCGATAGGTATATAAGTAAAAATACCTTCCCCTTGCAATACCAAAATAAGGATGATGGCCGATCGAGAAGTAAAGGAAATAATACGATATATGTATTCAATTTTTAATTCAACTAGTGATTATAAGGAATAAAACAAAAGCTAACGCAGTGAAATCCAAAATAAAATACTCACATTTTGTTGAAAAATCCGCAGGCAGCCCTTATAGATTGTCTGTATATTGTAAAATAATATTTAGTGCACTATGCCAAACGTATATGAGAAACGTATCGAGATGTAGCGCCCGCGTATATATAAATAATAAATCTTTCCTAATGTTCTCGCGGGGTACAGTATCGATACAGCAGGAGGGCGGGGGGACCGTAGCGTATTAGCGATTGACAGGCGAAACATTGATAGACACGTGAGATACACACGCTACGGATATGCACACGAGACGAGCGGGTGGCGCATACATATTAAAGGAGGACTCTGAACAATAAACAGTTATTGTATTCCACTCTTTAACATGTAATTAAAAAAAGAAACTCGCAAAATTCGCAAGTGGAATGTAAGGGAATAAGCCAGACAGACTGGCAGTCTGCATCTAGATTTCCAGTGGTGGAATGAAGCTAATGGGACTGAATGAAGCAGAAGCAATGCCCATTCTTATAAGTGAGTTCTTTAAAATGCCAATAGATCTGCAAACCTTCAAGCCAAACTAGCAATACTCCAATCATCATTGCATAATCGAACGTCAGTACCTTTGTACAGTAAGACTATTTGATTTGGTGAAAAGCATTTATGGTTTAAGCATTTAGTTTTTTGACTCCCGCGATAGTAATGGATCCGATGAACTCGCTTACGTCAACATCGAATGCTAAACTCAGGTTTAAGAGCTAAAGTTATTTATAAGCGCAGCGCATCAATAAGGATTTTGGAAAGTCTTGACCTGGCGGAATGTACTGCGCTTGGCGATAAACAAACATGTGGAGTCTGAAGTGCCAGATTCCCACACTCGCGAATTCTCAGAAATATTTTTGGCCATTGGAAATAGCTGAAGTCATTACTGAGGTGCCAAATTATACTTTAAATCTTGAAACGAATATTTGAATTAACCTCTAGACAGCGTTCAGATGCGATCTATTGTCTGACATTCAACAAATGCAAAATTAAGTTTTAAGGATATGTAAATTTGTAAGCGTGCTTAAAACGGTACGTAACTGTTCCTGTCAATTAGATAAATCTCTGTTGTACCTTCTAACTGAATCAATGTCAATATTTTCTTCTTTATATATACACGTTTGTACCACTCATCCGCTGTGAAGTAATGTAGTCTAATAGGACTTAAAAAAAAAACAAATTGTCATTGTTTTATTAGTGGTCCATTAGCTAGTCGCACAGCGCGACTCCGTTTGCGATCGTAGATAACGTATAGGTATACAAAGCGTGCATTCACACTAGCGTTGGATGAACGCACGCGTTTTTCTTAATTCTGCGTTCGGGAGTAGTTCCTGGAACTAGAAACTATTTATATTTCAAAATGTAACTTAATTATTATTAAACAAACTAAGTAAGTACTTCTTTGATATTATCTTTTTCTAAGGTTGCTTTAATTGTAGGTTAAATTCATAACAATCATTAAGTAGTTTACTACGTCATGTAACTGAAATATGTCGCTTTGCCTTTTGTTTTGTGAGGTCCAAAACGTGGACCTCCCTCTCAGGCATATCACAATTACATTTAGATTAAATCTAAAATATCGTCATTACCGTGACGTTATATCAATAGAAAAATACTATATTCTATGTAGAAAGAATGCCGGATGAAAGAATAAGAACACAGATGTACAACGCGAAAGTGGAAGAATACAGAAGCTGAGGAAGTGATCAAATAAAACGCACGCAATTGACGTGATGTCAGAAGAAGTGTATGTATGGAAAGAGTAATGAAAGAGTATAAGGCGAGAGATCTATGTAAGAACCGTACTTTGTGTCGTTCGATCCTATCTGCCTACCCCGCAAGGGATACGGCTATATAGAAGTGATTCGTTTAGTCACCGTCTGTGGTGCCAATTTCCGATTTATTACCACGACCATCATTCGCTATGAAGTCAATCTGTACCCGCAGCCGATCACTTCAAGAATGGGCACGTTTAAAAGCGCCAGTGTTAAAGTAGTTACACTAATGTATTACACGCGCCTGTCAAACAACGCTTCGATATGAATACGTTCGGGTCGGATATGACGATACCGACCGACGGTTCATTCAGCGCTGAGGCGTGTTTTATAAATAATATTCGTGTGTTTACCGTTCGAATGTTAAATATTTGGGCAGCCGCTTTTATAACTAGTGTTTGAGCAAAAGGTTTTAAGTGAAATGTCAGACTTATTTTACTCTGCTCATAATTGGCTCACCTCCTATTTTGTTAAGTCTGTACGATAATTTTATAAATTAAGAAATTATAAAAGAGAAATTTGTGGATGTTAGTGCTGTGACAGTGAATAGTGTAAAAGAACCGTCACAAAGAAGGTAAAAAATAAAACGAATAAAATGTATTTTTTCTGTTTGTTGCACTACTTTCATAAGCTCTCCAGCTGACCTGATTTAATCCTTGACTGATTTAAATAATAAATATTACATAAAACAAATTCCGCCATTTTAATAATAAATATTGCATAAAAAATGCCACAGGAAGTCAAGAAATAAGTAATTTCTATAAAATTATCTACGTTATACGTTTTATAGATATATATATATATATATATATATATATATATATATATATATAATATATATATATATAAAACGTATCTTTTAAGATATTTATAATTGCCTAACATAATCGTGACAAATTTCATCAAACTAATAGAATTAATTATGTTAATAATTCAAATATTATAATCCAATTAATTGCAATCGATCTTGTTGAATACGTTATACTTTTACCGGTTATTTAGTATATCTGGAGCGATGCAATAAAAGTTCACTTCGACGTTTGGAAGCCGGTTCGATCCTTAACCGGTTCTAAAACTTGTTACAATTAAGGAGCGACTTTGTGTTAAATATATATGAAATTCCGTGTTTAGTGATTATAAATGTTTAATTAGAATTTACCGATATCATATTCGGTTATGGTCGTCTAATAAATAGCTCGGCTTACTCGGTTTCTAAACCCGAACAGTTACTTTGATTTGTGAATTTCAATTAAGTTTCCATTGTATTTGATGTGTAACATTTGCTTTTTCTATATCTTCATTATAATGTGCGCCGCCGATAATTGATAAGCAATAATCGGCAATACTAGTGGTGTGTACGACAGCGGCAACAATGGTTTGTGTCGCGGGGGTCGTAAACTGCGGGTCGTTAATTCTGTTAAATATCTGGAGGGTCGTAAAAACA